AGGAAAAGATCATGAGGGCACTACTTGGCGAAATCCAGCGTACCAAAAACAACAACATTGGTATGTTTGATGGAGCCAAGTGGCAGAAGGGAGTCAAAGTTGTTGGATGCGGTAACAAGGAGTCGTTAGACTTCCTAACAAACTGCGTCCGCAACCAAGATGAACTTTGGGCCAACGCACGACTAGAAGTTGTTCCGCTCTCAGAGGTGCCATCCCGTCCGACAGTGCGAGTGTGGATCCCGCCCCCCCTCGTGGAGGACGAGACCTCACTAGCCCTAATCAAATGTCAGAACATGGATGTCATCCCTGACGACTGGACGATTGTCCGAGGCCGCGCTCGCGACAAGGGTAACGGCAAGGACCTTTGGATCAAGATCGGTCCACAATCCTTGCAGATCCTTCGTCGCAAAGCCGGCCAAATAAGATATGGCATCGGTCACCTCAGGGTGATCATCCCCGATGCTGAAAGAGAATCCGAAAAGCCTAAAGGTGGTGCAGATTAATCTGCATCACTGCAGGGCAGCATCGGAGGATCTGCTGCTCTTCATGGGTGAGGAAGATGTGGACGTGGCCCTAATACAAGAACCCTGGCTAGTGGCGGGGAGGGTCACAGGTCTATCCACTAGCGACTTTCTACTTCTCACCCCACAGACCGAAGGTAAAATTAGAACCTGTATTCTGATTAAGAAAAGCACTAATATTCTCTTTCTTCCCCAATTTAGCGATTCGGACATGACAGTGGCAATGTTGGAGCAGCGGGGAGCACCCGACCTCATCCTCGCATCTTTATACATGCCATACGATGTACCCGATCCCCCATCAATATCCTTCAGGAAACTAACCGCCTGGGCGGAGCAACGAGGGATAAATATGGTGGCTGGCTGTGACGCCAACGCTCACCACACGGCGTGGAGCAGCTCGAACACCAACGATAGAGGTGAGTCACTCTTTAGTTCCTTATTATCCAAAAAACTTACTATCTGTAATAAGGGTAATCACCCCACTTTCTACAATAGAATAAGGGAGGAGGTTATAGATATAACTCTTGTAACTAACTCGAACAATGTTAGGGTCGACGGCTGGCACGTCTCGACAAAATTCTCTTTTTCTGATCATTGTCGCATCGTATTCTCCATTAACCTGAACAGACCGACAATAAAACCTTATCGAAATCCTCGTAGGACAAACTGGAACAAATTCAGGCAGTTGGTGTCTGGAGCGAGTCCACCGTACACGGTGGAGCCAATTTCAGTGGACCAACTGGAGGGAACGGTCCTCTGTCTAACGAAGTCTCTCAACGAATGCTACATAACAACCTGTCCCGAGAGCAAACCTTCCAAGCGACACCCAAGGTGGTGGACGGCCGATCTAAGGCGGCTCAGGATAGCAGCTAGGAAAGGTTTCAATAAAGCGAAGTTCACCAAGAACGCGGAGGACTGGGACGAATATCGTCGCAACTTCAATGCGTTCAAGAAAGAGATAAAGAAGGCAACGAAGGTTTCGTGGTCCAAATTTTGCGAGGACCTCGAAACGACTACTGATGCCGCGCGACTAAGAAGGTGCCTCTCGAAAAAACCCGGCTCCTCCTGGTTTTCTGGAAAAGCCAGGAGGAGGGCACACCGAAAGCAGCCTTGAAACACTGGAACACCTTATGGACGTCCACTTCCCTGGTTGCGGTGACGCAGGGGACACAGGAACTCCTGTGACAGAACACCCTAGTACCCACAGGCAAGGCAGTCCAGTGGACGAAATCATCACTGCGGACAAAGTAGCTTGGGCTATCAGATCCTTCCAACCCTACAAATCTCCGAGACCGGATGGGATCTTTCCAGCCATGCTACAACGAACAAGCGCCACGGTAACCCCCTGGTTAACGACAATCTATAGGGCGAGTCTCCTCCTAGGCTATATCCCAAAGCCATGGAGGGAGGTAAGAGTGGTCTTCATTCCCAAAGCAGGAAAAGCGGGCCACAGCACTGCAAAAGATTTTAGGCCCATCAGCCTCTCATCATTTCTTCTCAAAATAATGGAGAGGCTTCTGAGTCTGCAGATCACGCAACGCCTTACTCCTGGGAACTTCAGCGAGGCTCAGCATGCCTACCGTAAAGGTAGGTCGGTTGAAACAGCCCTGCACGAGGTTGTTGGGAGTATAGAGCAAGCACTGAATCACAAGGAATATGCGCTGGCAGCCTTCCTGGACGTGGAGGGCGCCTTTAACAATGTTAATTTGGCATCCATACACTGCTCCATGGTGGCTGTAGGACTGGACTGGTTGAGCACCAGAAATATCAATGGCTCCTTGGGAACATCAGAAGTAAGGAAAACAGCCACACGGGGCACACCTCAAGGGGGGGTGCTATCCCCCCTACTGTGGAACCTCGTGCTAAACGAATTCCTGCTTCGCACATCAAAAGCCGCTGAGGTCGTTGCTTATGCGGATGACTTAGTCATTCTGGTCGTGGGAAAATTCCTCTCCACGGTCAGCGAGATTCTACAATCTGCAATTAGCGATCTGTCAGGGTGGGCAGAACGAAACGGCCTAGGGGTCAATCCCACTAAAACCGAACTTGTTCTCTTCACCAAGCGATATAAAATAGACAATTTCCGACTTCCGTCCCTCAATGGAGCAAATCTCGAATTGTCAAAAGAAGCAAAGTTTTTGGGGGTTATTCTCGACTCTAAGCTTTCCTGGAAAAGGAACACCGAAGAGCGGAGAAAGAAGGCGCTCATTGCGCTCTACTCCTGCAAAGCTACTATTGGAAAAGACTGGGGTCTGCGACCGCAGATAATACATTGGATTTATACGGCGGTAGTCAGACCTATCCTCACCTATGGCGCGTTGGTATGGTGGCAGGCGGTTGACACCAAATCCCATCTACTCAACTTGCAAAAGGTGCAACGACAAGCATGCTTATACACAACGGGGGCGATTTATTCAACGCCTCAGGCATCTTTAGAGACCCTGCTGGATATTCCACCTATAGACCTATATGTTAAAAGTATCGCAGCTAAAAGCGCTCTACGACTCAGAGCGTCTAACAGGCTGCGAACAACTTGCAAAGGTCACGCCACAATCCTCGGGAGAGTGGGGGTGGAATACAGCCACTGTGACCATCAGGTCACGGAAATTGACTTCAATCGAAACTTCGATATCCATTTACCTGACAGAAGTGACTGGGAATTTAATATTGCTCTCAGCGATGACGAAATACCCATCTTCACGGACGGCTCCAAAATGGATATCGGAACAGGATCTGGGGTCTCCTCTCAGGAGTTATCTCTAAGGGAGTCGTATAGACTTCCAGACCACTGCAGTGTTTTTCAGGCTGAGATATATGCAATCCATATGGCGGCAAGGTTTGTGGGCATGATGGACTTAGCTCCATCTAAATTAGCCTTCGTTGTTGACAGTCAGGGGCTATCAAAGCCTTAGGGTCGGCAACGACTAACTCGGTATGCGTTAAAGAATGCCGAAGATCCCTACAAGCTCTACAGCAACACATAATCAATCTCTACTGGGTACCGGGACATTGTGGTGTCCCGGGAAATGAGGAAGCGGACGAATGTGCTAGGAAGGGATCTGAGATGGGGCTCGGGGAAGTGACCCAAATCGGGAAATCCCCCCCTGCGATTTCTGTCTTCAGAAGTCGAGAGACTGACCAGGGCAGCTACCAACAATAGGTGGGTAAACCTTCACACCTGCAGGGTATCGCGATCACTCTGGCCACGGCTCGATGAACGAAGAAAAAGGAGTCTATTAAGGCTTTCAAAGTCAAACGTCAGGCTTCTCACAGGAATACTAACGGGACACTGGACCATTGGCCACATGGCCGCCAGGTTCGGAGCCCCGCATAATGATTTCTGTAGAAGCTGCAGGGATGAGGAGGAGTTAGAATCCGTCCAGCACTTCCTTTGCGAGTGTCCACCACTTCGAGGAAAACGCCTCAAGTTTCTTGGGGACCACTTCTTCGAGAATCTGGATATCTTGGGGAAAGCTCCTCTGGAAGGAATCAAAATGGTTCGAAGACATGTAGGGATAGGCTTGGGGGTAACCCCCATGGGCATCACAATGGGCCTCTGCGGCCTCCGAGTGAACTCTTTTTCAGAGCTGCCCGTTTAACCTAACCTAACCTAAAACTGTGTAGTTGATTGATAATCTTACTTGTTTCGGCTTTGATCGCTTGTAGTATTAATAATTTTCATTGAAATCAACACAAGTTATATATTTTTGTAAGAGGCACATCAATACTTTCCCAACTTAAAATCAGCCTCACTCACCTTCATGTAATTACACTGGTCGACGGCCAAAATTTACCAGAGACGCCGTTATGAAATTCGTATGTAAAATCACCCCCTGATTCCGAAAATCAAGGTTATTTTTAATTTTATGGTACCGTTTTTGAGATATTTGCAATTTATCGTTTTTGCAAAAAAAAAAAAAATTGGGTCCACTTAATCATATATATCTCAAGAACGAATTAAGCAATTCCAAAACGGTTTGAAGCTTTTAAAAGGTAATAAAATTTTCTATAA